GTTTTGTAGGTCTACGGTCTACTGAGGTCTACTGAACTTAAATAGTTTTTCACGAATATGTGGTATGCATTCTATAAGGAAAATGGGTCAAACAATTTCTTTACAATATGCCTGTATTTTCATAAAATGACTTCTGAGATGATTATTCACCCTTTTTCTTTGTTATTTAAATCAAGGTGCGGGAGAATTTCAACCAAGTCAAAGATGGTTTCCATGCTGCAAGAAACCAGGACCAAAACACCATCAATACAGATCTATTTACGGTAATATTTGACACTTATATGGCTTCTATACTGAACTATGATGGTGTGCATTTTCTAGCTTTCTTATTGGACCATAGAGAAAACCATTTAATTGTCGCTCGTACAGTTTCCCCGGCATGACTTTCTCGCTTTCTGATTGGATCACAGAGAAAATTATTTGTGTGTTTCTCATATATATACCGCCAAAATGTTTTTCAAAAATCTAGTATTATTTTGAATTTGAAATAAAACAAGCACTTGGTATATGTTGTCTTTTATATTCATTTTTACAGGAAATTCTTTTAAAGCATTGCAACAGCTTAAGCGGGCTTGAGTGTGATGTACTGGTCCAGAGGTTCGACAGAGACAAAACAGGACGGTAAATGTTGGACTTTTTTTTTTTTTTTTTCCAACTTTAACAGCAAAATATCTATAAATCTAAAATCTTTAGTGGTCTTGCAAATCCATGCGTAAGGAAAGGGGGGCTGGAGGTCGGCGAACTCTCTCTTAAAATTAATCTTTCTCCTAAAATTCAGATCTCATTTTTTACCAACTTYGAAAGGAAAAGTCGAGAATGTAAGAAATTCTATTTTCCGGTCGGGATAAAATTAAGAAAACCCCGTCTCGAGTTAGTCATGATTTTAAACATGTTTTGGAGCTGGTGGGGTTGCTGTGGTTTTGGCAGAAGCTTTCGCGCCAAAAAGTTCCCGCCAAGACGCGTGCGCTTGTCCTCTCARCTCTGCAACACTCAATACGTCATTTCAGTATATTTTAAATTTTTTGCTTCAGTGTCAGATACAAGGACTTTCTCAATGTATTCCTACCCACAATGCCAGAGGGTACGGATCCTATCGCGTCTCCTTGGCAACCAAATCATGGGAGAGCCAAGACCGTAAGTCTCAGTCAGTTTAATATATGACTTTCAATATCTTTCATAATTTTACTGTATGGGTTATCAATAGTATCCAGAAAGACGGCGAGTGTCTTCCAATGAAGCACTTCATTCCATCATGAATCAAATAAGAAACAAGGTAAGACATCTTTTTAATAAATGTTATGTGAAACTTCCTATGAGCACCTTAAAAAGTTAGTAATCATAAAACAACGTCTGGGCTGCTCTAAGCCGTGCCCTGATTAGATTAGCCCAGAGGTTGTTGCAGGGTTCGATCTGTGAGTTAGCCGTGCCCTGACTTAGATCAGCCAAGAGGTTGTTCCAGGGTTATATATCAATCAAACTGCTTCCCTCATTTTATTATCCAATGAGGCTTTCTTCATGCATGATAAACATGATTTATCATTTTTTTCGTCGCACATTTCAGATGATTTTAGATTGGAAAGCGTTGCGTCGAGCCATGAAAAAGTCAGATARGAATGGTGATGGAATGATTACTGTATCAGACTTCAAAACAGTCATGAAAGCTTTCGGTTTTTCCCTGGATGAAGAAGACTTCTATCATATTTTTTCGGCATTTGATGTAAATATGGATGGTAGGATTTCATATGTGGCTTTCATGAAGGAAGCACTCATGTAATCATAGCTGGATGTAGGTACATG